TAAACACAATGAAAAGCATATGCAGTAGAAACAGAGAATAAAAGATTTCAACCAGAAATCGTATATACTAGAATGCAAGATTTCTGATAAGTTGAAATCTCTTATTTCCTATTCTATATTGCTTGTGCCTTTTTATTATATTTAAAGCTTTGGCTCAGACACAATGAAAGGAATAAAGAATAAGAAACAAGAAACAGATTTCAACCTATCAGAAACGTGTATTTCGGTATATTCGATTTTAGAGATAAACTGAAATGTATTATTCTTTGTTCTTTTTATTATAGGTCTGTTCTTTTTAGCTAAAGTTCTTGCACGGTTCATTTTTCTTCCTTTTTTTCTCCACGTTAGAAAGAAGAAGGGAAAAGATAAACTGTGCAAAAAATTCAGCGAAAAAGAACAGGCCTTATGTCTGAGTCCCGGACAGAACACAGGCATTGTGAAGTTCTGTAAATGATCGAACAATGCTCAAGTAAAAACTTCATACGATTAATTAAATTTACATGGTTAATTAAAATTGCACGATATAATGAACTTTCAACGTTAATCGCTCGCGGCACGCATGGTATTATATTGTAAAGAAAGAACAACGCGAAGAAAGTAAGTTGAGTAATTTGCGTGGAATCACGATAGTATAATTCGTTCGACATGCGTAAAATTTCCCAAATTAGTGCAACGAAAAATCTTGAAAAGTTGTAACAAATCACCAATACGCAAACGCCGAATTCGTGTTGTGCCATTAACAAATAAAATACAATATAATCATGAATACGTTCTTATATTATTTCACGTTTTCGAAACAAAAACTTGGCGAATCGATAAAAAGTTTAAAATACAGTAGTTATCACTTCGACACTCTTTCGAGTCGTCAATTGTAGGAATTAACTAATCGCGCGAAATTACAATTGTTGCTAATTGTCTGTAGGCAATTTCGAAAAATAACGCAACGAAATACGGAGCAGTTTATACTGCTACCTACTCGTTCCATTATCAGCGTATAATTGCGAATGTAGCTGATAACGCGGTGACCTTACGTAAACAATTCGGCGCTTGCTTGCTAGAGCGGTGACCTTTGTTTGTATTTTATATCTAGGTTGTTCCTTTTACGCCCAATTTCTTCACTTCCAGATAAGTGCGGATAACCTTATCCAGAAGAGATCTCCGTTGTATTCTGGGAGATATCTCTTGAATAAAGTTATCTAGAAATGAAGAAATTGGGCATTAACCGAACTTCTTCCGCGGTTCATCTTTTCCTTTTTTTTTTCTTTAACGTGGAGAGAAAAGGAGGAAAGAGATGAACTGTGCAAGAAGTTTAACTTAAAAAAATAGACTTTATGACACTCTCGGTATGTTGTAACGACAAAGTCAAGGCCGCGTGCCATTCAAAATAATACTTTTTCATCTTACAAATCTATTCACGCCAAATTCTTTCAAATTTTTATTGCTTTTGAATTTTTATTCCTTTTAAATTTCGAAAACGATTTATCACGTATTTTATTTTCCATGTTGCGAATATTTTCCCATCGCTTAAAGCTTCACTTAAAGCCATGATTAATTCTGCTCGATCGAGAATTTTTATTAAACAAAAAAATTAAATCATCTTTTTATAAAAATAAAAATTCGCTGTCAATAATAAAATTGTTAATATCAACTGATTGTTATAAAATATGTATGTATAAATATCTTCAGATGATAATTCGCGTCAGATTTCAGGATGGGATTCTATTTATAATTTATATGTAGCACATTCAACTCACGTATGCACATATTTTAATATATATTTTATGTTTGTACGTATTCTAATTTTCCAAAAGTTTGGTATTACATTATGTGAATGTTTTTCACATTGTACAATATATAAAATTACGATGGAATATTATAATAAATTCTGATACAAATTATATACCTATTGTATAAATTACCTGAAGTAAAATTAGAAAATTAAAAGCAGAGTTAATATTATTTATATAGTAAAAATAAATGACAAATCGAGCTAAGAAATGCGATATTATTGGACAACTTCGATTACTTAAAAAAATATATATATAAAGTACATAAAAATATAATTAAAAAAATATTATAACCAAAATTTTTCATATCAATATTTTCGACCTTTAAATTAATTTCCTAAATTACAGTATTGAATAAATTTTGAAAAACATTTTATGCATAAAAGGAATTCATTGCATAGTTTCTAAAAAAAAAATGCGTTAAGCATTATTTACTAGATGGATAATTTATTATAATTTTTTGTCGTATATATGTCGTATATACACACATGCGAATGCGAAATGTGAATGCATATCATCAATCTTTACGATTCTTCGAAACATTAAGCATATGTTAATTTTTTCCTTGAATACTTGTCGTGATCAGGTTATGTAGTAGAGTAGATGGATCGAGAGCTCTCAGCTTTTTCTATCATGCATTTTAATGTATAGCTCTGGATCAATCCTCTTGCCACAATATTATTTCCTGTCTCAACGAAGCAACAAGTTCTACTTCCTCGTGGGAATCGATTAAATATGTTTTCCTTTTTCTTGGTTTACACGACAGAGATTTAAAAAGTCTTTTCAATTTTGCAACAATTGTAAAGGTAATTACGAAATCGTGTATAAGAAAAAATAACTTCTCTTTATTTAATTGTATTTTATCAATGTATATAACATTTATGGAAATTTAATGTAACTGTTATGATAAACATCTATATATTAAACAACAAATACACACATACTTGTAATCCAAAACGTGATGGTTAACAAACGCAGTTATCCTCGATTCAAAATTAATAAAACGAAGCAAGTTAAATTTTAAGAATAAAAATTTCTCTGACAAACAATTCTTTGGACGTTCATACATGGATAACGATCATTTCTTGCGGAAGGAACGAGCAGCTCCATCAAATCATTCAACATATGTAATTAAATGCACCAGACACTCTTTTATTTTTGCCCGTTCTACTTGTGTCGCTAATCGAAGTAGGGCGCCACATCGATTTTGGTCGTATCCGGAGCGCAATGCCAAATATCACGTAAAAGGGCACAGCCGGGTTCTCCATTTCTCGAGACGCCGATCTAAAATAGGACCAGACAGAAACGCGGACGAAGGCGGAGGTTGCAAATAAATAATGAGCATCGCGCCTCAAGGATAAAGATGGGATTAATAAGGCGCCTAGTAACGAGGGTATACCTATCAGAATGCGCCACGGTCCGTGTAAATCTCGCGTTTCTCGATCTATCTCTCCGCTTTTCGCTCCTTTTCTCTACATTTATCTTACTCCTGCTATAATTCTTTCCCCCCTGTCCGTCCTATCCCGCCCGCAACAGCTACGGGATTTTTAACCGAGAATTTTAACGATCGACCTACATTTCCGCGCCCCATTTACAGTATATTCTACGGTAATGTCAAACACCGCGATAAATATGCTAGCAAAACCAACGATCGCCTCTGTAAGGACAAACAGCAATGCAATGGTGCGGTTAGACGATTATCGGGATACCCACGGAATAGTTTGCGGAAAGTCGCCACAAATCGTCCGATAACGATCAATCTTTTCGCGGATTTCACAGGCTATTTCTTTCATCTCTCTTAGATTTAGGAACCACCAAATATATCTTGCTGTCACATAAATGCATGTAAGTGACACAAATATACATATTTGTGAACATGAAAAATTATTACATCGCACAGGCGTAAATTTTATGGCATGTGTCATTTAAAAGTTATTTTTAACACCAATATATATGTATATATGGAATTGTATGAAAAATATATATGTATAATCTTAAATATGTAGCTATTATAAATATGATATATATATATATATATATGTATAATATGTATAATATTTATATTCATAACGAGATAAATTATATACATATACATTTACCATATGTATAATAAAAGAAACTGCGAATTTTCCATCATAATGCAAATTATTCATTTGTTTGTAATAATCACTATGTAATTAATAAATTCCAGTAATCCAGTAATATTTATCAGAATTAATCACATTTACAAATCATTTGATTTATGTACAGAATATTATGTAACCGTTGTACAATACTGTAACAGCATATTCTGAAGATTAATTAAGTCAAAATAATATAAAATTGTATCATAATATTTCTATGTCAAAACAAATCAAAACCAATTATGATTTCAACACTTTCGTATCAGGATTTTCGATTTTAATTAATATTCAAAATATATCATTAAAATATTACATAATTGTTAATAAAAAGATACACAGAGTGTAGCTTTTCTTTGAAATCAATATCTAGAGGTATTCTTAAGAAATTACTTTGTACCATTCAAGCTGTAATTAATCATCAATATTTCCCCTATTTTCTTATTAATTGAATTCATTCACGTGAGCAATTGAAAAATCGTTATTGATTCATAATGTAATACGAATCAAGTCGTGCCTGATTAACGCTTGGGTTATTACAAACGTGACGCAGTCCATAGCTACCGACGATCGATTTAGCAATAACTGCTTGACGCAACAATGCAATCTCAAACTGTAATTTCCAACATTATGCAAAAAATATTTCAAGTAAGAATTATATTCGTTAATAAATGAATTTATATCAAGAACTATATATAATTAAAATTAAAATGTATTAGTTTCTTTTTTCACACACAAATTTCGACAATTAACTTAGTGTTGTAATTTCCAACATTATGCAAAAAATATTTAAAGTAAAAATTATATTCGTTAATAAATAAATTTATGTTAAGGGTTGATTTAAAATGTACCAGTTTCTTTGTTTACAATTTGCGACAATTTTCTTAATGACGCACAATATATAAGGTAATATATGTAAACAAAGATATGAAACTGATATAAAATCTTCTTTTTTTCATAATAGATTAATAGATATCGCGTTAATTAATAAGTTAAGTTAAAAGAATTAACTTTGTGACGGAAAAGCGGAAGCAAGTTGTTTATTCCATCTGTGCATTAGTTTTCTAATGTTAAATTAATATAACGTACTTACCCTCATATGCGGCTGAACCAATAATTCGTGAAGTTCTCGAAGATCAGCTCTATCGATATTTCTCACCGCCGAATGCTCTGCTTCCCGAAGGATCTCTTCAACGTCACGAGCACGTTGAACCGCATCTGTTTGTGGTGCTCGATACGGTGCTGGTACACGACCTGAGATTCTGTCATAAAGCTAGAAATCAGAAATATCAACATTAATATAAATTTCTCAAATTCTTTTGTTGTTTTTTCATATCATTTATACAAGTAATGTCGTATTTATTTAACAAAAAATAATCGTCGTTACACATTTTCTGAAATTAAAAGTGCAGATTGCAAGATTTCATTTTATTTTTATTAAAATGCTAAAAAATATAACATTTTAATAACTAACGTAAAAAGATTAAAGTTATCTGAGTATTCAAACTTTTCTGTGATTTAATTCCATGCTATATTTACACAAAGTATTCTTATAAAAACGTAGTAAAAAATAAATTTAAATAATAAATATCACATGAGTATAACACAATAAAAAATGAGTGTTTATTAAAGACTGAAAATTAAGAAAATTACAATATTATTAGGTAACACATATACTGAGATTGAAAACAATTTGTAAACAATCCATGACATATTCTGATCATACAGCAATCGCGTTTAAATTTGTGACGATCGGTATTACTTATTATGTACATAAAATTTCGAATTTGCCTGGCAATATTCCTGCTTTATTTTCGGCTCGACCGAATTAATTTACTCACCAGGAGACCCGCGATTTCGAGCAGATCGCCGGCTAGCTCGGCGTCGCCGATGAACATTAACTGACAGAGATGCATCTCTGCTGTATAAACAGTGCACATAAGCCTCACCGGGCTAGGACCACGTGTGACATGGTCCTAGCACGTGGCTCATTCGGCCACGTGACACTTCAAGAACCACCAAAGAACAAGTTTACATTGACACGCGTGTTGGCGCGATAGTGCGATCTCTCGATCGTGCGTGGCATGTTGTTTATCAGGACTCCACAGCAGCCATCTTGCCAGCTCGGAGGTAGCGCTTGCGTGCTTTTCCTCGAAAGGAACGAGAGTGGGCAGCCCGTTCCCGCGGGATATCCTGCAGGGGGTTACATTATCCCTCCACGGTCGGGGGGAACCACTGAGGGAGTCGGGGATGAGTGGCTCCGCTCTCAGTAGAAAAGCTCAAGCTCTGCAGCGACGAAACTCAACCGCGAAAAGGGGGTGCCTTTCAACATGGCTACCGATCCAGGCGAGCCGAAAGATAACAGTTCAAATATATGCGCAAGCGTTTCATGGAAAGTGGGGTGACGGTCGTTACCCGCCCTTGGTAAGAAATAACTCATTCTGTTTTACCCTACGTGTGTACGAAAGTATTCTGTCTTTGCTACTTGCGATTCATTGCAGAAAATTTCGCTGTTGATAAAAATATAAATAATGCAAAAATAATGTCAAGTAATAAAGAAAAGTCCTATTACAAATTACTCATTTATGAAAGCTACGTGAAGAAAAGAATTGTTTGAATAAATAAAAGTGACGCGATTCTTTCTGTTGAAAAAATGTCGAATTAATGAAATAAATAATGTTTTTTTTTAATATACTGGTAAGATTTGTAATAAAATTTAAATTTTTTAGAGTTTTCTTTTTACTCGAATCATATCTTTTATATTTTTAGTTGAAAAAAAGAAGAGATAAACGCACTAAATGTATAATAAAAATTGTAATTTTCATTATGCGAGTACATTCAGCGAATTATATTTTCATAATTAAGACGATATTACCAAGTGGCATTTTATTAACGAATACTATTAAAAAAAAAATTATTTTCGAATTTGCACTGAATTAGAAACAAAACTTTGCTTTCTGAGATTACGCGTGTTTCAATTTTTGACTAATTCTTATGGTAGATAGATAAATTTTTTTTATTTTTAACCTGCACACAGAATCAGAATCATCTCATTAAGATCCAATTGTAGTTACGAAAATTCGCACAACAAAATAAAAATTGAACAAAAATAAAATGAAACAATCGATTATCGCATAAACAGAAGTTACTGTATAATTAAAGTCAATTTATGTTGAATATCTAAAGCCATTAAGGAACACATGCACAGCGATATTTTCGCAATGAATACGCGATAATTCGTACATCTACAATTAAATCGACATTATCTGTCTGATAAGCGAAAAGTTTGAATACTGGGATTTCATAATTCATTGCAATCTTTTAATCATTAATCTTACTCTTTCATTGTCTTAGCCAAGTCGGCATGTTCTTATTATTTTTATATAATTACGAATTGCTGTAAAAAATACCTCTAAGATGACTCGAATTCGATGATCATCAACGGCATTGAGAACTTCCGACCGCAACAGTCTGTCACTTTCCTCAAGAATTTCAATGTCATCCAAGCAATCCGCAATTTCAGCTACAGCGCCTATAACGTAAGAACGTATGAAATATTGATTTTACGAAACGTTATTGATGCATTTGACGATTCATTGTAATTGTAATCTATGTATATAGCGGTAGACAATACTGAGTAATGCTCTCAATTAAACTGGGTTCAGATCAAGCGAGCGAACGTAAACATATATATGTATAAATAAATAATTTATACTCGTAATGCCGTTCCCACTCATTGAGGCAAATTATTCATTCGTGCTTATTTGCGCTCATTTGCTTGGTCTATTAACGTAATGTTCGCGGAAATAACGGAATTTCCAAATTACACGATACCATCGATCTCTCATTGTTGAAATAGTAAGCTATAAACATGTGAACAAAATATTGGCCTATATTATGTTATCATTACTTTTATACTTGTATTGCTATGAAAATATCACGATCAATTAAACGCATGCAGAGTACTTTTGAATTTTTAAAGCGAAGCAAAATTTGACGTTAGCGAAATTCCAGTTTTAACAGCATCTGTTAAAACGCTTTCTCATTTAATTTTTAATATTGTATGTTTCTGATAAATCGATAATTGGAACACACAGATTAAATTCATCCAAATAAAATCTGTTTATCCCCTTCCGCCTTGTAAATTAAATATCTGTCGAAGGGAACACGTTTATCTGCATTGCATTTTGTAATACTTGTACCGTATCAGAGAAATGAAATTCCGAAATCGCTCGCGTTCGATATACCTGTAGTTATCTCGTCATCGCCGACGTCAGAGAAATTGTCGCCATTAGCTTCTGAATACGGAGCATGCCACTTCGACGAGGAGACGGCTGCTTTTACGGCGTCCTTCAGTTTTCGCCTCGCATTGAATTTCTTAAGCTCTTCTATAGTGTCACCTAAATGTATACGGGCTGCACCCTTATCACGATCCTGTAAGTTAAGATCCGTTCATTCGCTATAAAACAATCGTTGTAAAATAAATAATGACCATGCTTTTATTGACAAGGGCACAATGCTGCAAGTGCAAAATATAATGTAGAAAAATATTTCTTCGAGTCATCGACAAATTATCAAACAAAAGAAGAAAAGCTTATTAAATCAGCGCAAATAAATCAAGCGCAAGTCAATCAATCGGCTTAGAAATAAATCAAAATTTGTTCATAGACGTTGCGTGTAGCAACAGCAAACATCGTAAATATCGTAAAGAAAATGCTGAAGCAGCAGCGAAGTGATATGCAATTATTTTCCCCTTCCTGCAATCGGGGCGTATCGCACCGTCATGGAGAAGCGAAAGGAGAGAGAGTGTGTACTTGCTTCCACGAAGTCTACGGGGGTTCGACGAACGTACAGCCATATAAAAAAAGCCCTAAGCAGTGCACACCGAGCGCGAGGTGTACTTTACTATAGTTATTTTCATTAACCGCCCGGAGGCTTCGCTCCCGCTATAGCGATCGATAGCCCAGTTGCACGTGTGTTGCACCGAAGAAGTATGGGGGTGACTCCGCGAGTGTTCCTGCCTTAGGTCACTGGCTAACTGTTGCACCACATAGGTATACCCACACCATACGACGCGCGCGTGCGCACGCACATTCATTGGAGATAATAAGGAGGAACGAGGCCACGTGTATTATATATATATATATATATATAACATATTTATATATGTATATGTATATATTATATATGTGTATATATATATATATATATAATATATGCGTATTACATATACATATATATTTATATTTACATATATATGCATGGCATAATTATAAAAAAAAATAAAATCCGATGTACTATCACCGGCGATGAAACGGAAGCTGCTACATCGATTATCCCTATCAGGAGTAGTGCGGCGTGACGTAGAATGCTGATCGTCACCGAACGCCCGCGCAAACGATTATAATACGTCGGATTAAACCGCGGGATTTCCCCTTCGTGCTCTGTATGCATAGAAGAGTACCAAATAGAAGCACGAACCGCGCGAACCGTTCCACTTACTCTGAGCCACTTATGGTTGAGAACCTCCTGGATGGTGATCCTATGATTTACGTCGGTTGTGAGCATTCTCTGTATGAGATCTTTCGCCGGTTCACTAATGGGATCCCAGAGTGGTGTCTCCATCTGCAAATTCAATTAAAACGGAATTATTCGTCGCGCACCGGAGAACTGCGCGACCCGGATGCGAATGGTTGCGCGGGTAAGCATTATTAAAATTCTCCAACCGCCTCGTTACATCCGGATTAGCGGTGTTAGAAACAACGTAAGATCATAAGACGTGGCGATTACCTGCACCCGCCCTCGACAGATCGCTTCCCGCAGCCTGTCTCGAGATCCGACAAACGGAAGTGTGCCAGTTAGCAAGACGTGTAGCAGCACTCCGGCTGACCAGACGTCACCGGGTTTCCCATACTGTCGCCGTTGGATCACTTCCGGTGCCATGAAGTGCGGACATCCGACACGACCTGCGCGACCAAGAGCGTCGTGAGCGAAAGGGATGAAATGGTTTATGTGACCGGCAGAATGGAAGCATGAGTGATTGCTCGGAAACTTCACAGTCGATCGTTTATACATAAAACGGAACCGTGTTTGCGACAAGTGTAAGAACCGAATTTATCAGCCGAATAAAGGATCTGCGTTTGATTTTCCCTCGAGATTTTACGATTATATATATAATAAATAATCGGTAGCTCTATCTCGCACACATCCATCCACATGCATACACACATATATACTCTCTTTCTCTTTCTCTCTCTCTCTCTCTCTCTGTCTCTCTCTACCAAATCGATTGTCCGTAGCGAGAGAATCCAAACCACTTTTATCGTTATCGGGAACGTCGGATCGACTGGACGTATCAAGTATAATTAATGGCAAAGAACGAACGTCAAATACAAAGGCTACTGCATTCCTCGAAAACAAATACACCTGTCACAAAGTAGCCGATTCTCCGATATAGGCACAAACGTCGTTCACGGACGATAACCAACGTGCTAACTTGCTTACTTTCAACAATCTATATTTATTAAGAATCGGTAAATGACACAGAAAGCGGCACGAGAGGAAATGTAGGTCACTGCACATTGAAAAGTGTACATGGGAAAAGATGAGATGATTAAGGCTATAAAGCAAAGACGACATAATTGCGTTCGCGAGTATATCGTTAAACATCAGAAAAATTATCATTAGAATATATATCGTGTAATTTTACATATTCAAAAAATCTAATATGACACAATTATTATATTAATAAAGATTAACGCATTTAAAGCATGGATTTCTTTCTAAAAAATATTTAAATGTATATTTAAATATACAATCAGTATATAATAAATTTGTCAAATATTTTAATATTTTATTTTATTACACGTATATTCTACTAGAGGCTATGTATCCTATGTTTGCGATACATACTTCTATTTATAAATATACTATTCTATCCATAGAGAGAATGGACTCTTAGCTGTTTCATCTAAATGTTTTGTTTATGTAATGAAAAAGAGACATTGTGTTAATATTGTATAAATATGTATTAATTTCTATATACCCGTTTACATAAACGAATCCTCTATTATTACGTTGGATAAAATAAATAAATATATCATAAATGTCATAAATAAAAATATATTCCTTCATTACGTTTTCGTAATGAAGGAATATACATGTAAAATATTAAGTGTTAAGTAAATTATAATAATGAGATATTTATCTTCTTCATCATTTTGCGATAACGATAATATAATTGAGAGCGATTAATAGAAAAAGAATGATTACATTCTTCCACGAATAATACAACATTATTAGCGCGCGCGCGTATATTATAGAACATTTTAGAATAATCGATATAAAGATTAAACTTTGATAAAAAAAAAAACAATTTTTAATCTATTCCTTTTTCTGTAATAAACATTAAATTAAACTAATAATTTTAATTATTGATAGACATATTTAATATAAAATTCTGTAAAACAAAAGTTATTTATTTATAACATAATATATTTGAGTAGAATACTTAAATAAAAAGATAAAAGGTGCTGGTGCAGAAGAAAACTGATTATAGTTACTTATATACAGTAAAAGCAACGAGTAAAAGTAAATTTAAACCAGAATATGGAATCAGAAATATTTCAGAAATAGAAACGTAAAAGTATGTAATATTTAACAGTGCCACAACTAGGTGCCAAAGAGTTGCACATACAGAGAAACAAATTTTCATGCAATTTCACATCAGGAGCATGCAGAATTTATTTGATTTCAGAATGTAAATTTAATAATGAGAAACATACGTGAGCGACGAATTTTTAAAAAACTAACATGCTAATGAAAATATAACTGTCGATAAAAATATTTTATTTCGGCTTGTTCATCGCTTGGCTGCCGCTTGTCATTGCATGATTTTAATTATTCGCTTTTTAAAAGTAATTAGTTACACGAACGAAGCGACAAGTTAATAACATGCATTTTACGCAAGTATAATTTAGAGATACAGGATAATACACGAGTGGTCTGGGAAATTTCTGGCACAATTTCCAGCAGGAATATTTATTTCGAGAAAAACATGTTATATAAGAGCATATACGTGCAAAATGTGCAATAATGGAGTCGTCATAAAAACGACTCTATATTAATCACCTCTAAAATCTGTCTCCAAAATGTCTCTTAAGAGAATTTCATATATATTCCCAAGGTTTTCCGTTCTACTCGCGAGTTAACCTGTGTATCTTATATTTTATCACATGTAAGATTTACAAGTATCAGCTGAATATTAAATATTTTTCATATTAAATATTAATTATATTAAATATTCTTCCTAGAAGGAAATCTCAAAATCAATATGCGAGATAAGTGCGCTACGAAATGTCTCTGATTTAATATACATGCTGATATATCTTTGAGGAATCATTTTCATTTAAAAAAACAAGATCATATTTTTCCGCAATTTTAAAGTATCGCGTTTCATAGGTATATCGTATAAGTAACATTGCACACTCTAAATTATCGAGTTTTGTTATT